GATTATATACAGGTCAAGTCGTCGGATGCAGCAGCTATGGATTACTGTGAGATCATCCAGTTGAAATGGGTGCAAGGAAGTTGTGCAGGTCTGACTTGTGTAATTTTTCATTCTTGATTATGGTGCGTACTATTGCATGGGTCACGTGAATGATGTGTTTGTGGATTCTCGCATGTTTTACAAGACGTCACACTTTGCTTACCATGGTTAGGGTATGACGTGTTGTAGGCTTCTTTCTTTGTTGTCCAATGCCATTAAGTACGAGGGATATTCCTGTTACGAGAATTCTGTAGCCTAGAGATGATATGCGAGTATGAATGTTTTTTCTTCTGAAAGGGATGTTACATATCTGTGATATGCTTTCAGTGGCATAGCTCTACTTATGAAATGCCAAACAGTGTCAAATGTAGTTCTTAACACATACCATTCCACTGTGAACTACTGGCTGTAGTTGTCATGTGACTGCTGATTTGGATATTTGATATTGTTTTAGCATGATGTACTCAATACTCTGTACTTCTTTCATACTAAACAAAAAGTAGCTTTTTTCTGCAATCATGGTTACATTGTTCAAAATGTACCTTTACTCAAACATTTGAACCAGTGCTCAGTTATTACCGATATTACATCCTATTGTGTGTGTTATAATAAAGAAGTCTGATTGTTGAAAATGAAATTGGCAGTAATATTCAAAACTTCTGACAGAGAAAACCTACATAAAAAATACACATATGCTTAAAAGAATTTTTGAAACTTGCCAAGCTTATAATCGTTACAATTGTTATTTTTTTACTAGGAGTAAAATTACATTTATTTTTGGTGATATACGAGAGAGGGTATTAAACGAAAAATTCCTCACTATAGTTCACTGGCTTTTAGAATAATGGCTACAAATTTTAAAACAACCAATCACAAACTGATAAGCAAAAAAAAAAAAAACCTACATACAAAATACATACATGTAAGTATGAAAAAAGGTGAGCAATAACTACTACAAAGATTTGATTGTGAACTAAGCTGAATAAAACTGGAAATTGGGTAGTCTGCAAAAACAATATTAAAATGTCTGTAAGGATTTAATAGTTAAAAATAATGGTAAGGAGATGATAAGAAATTAAAGAGAATCTGAAGCTTTACCAAATTATTGTTAAACGTTGGATTTACTTGCTACACTAGAATTTGCAAGGATGCACCATAATTAGGAGTCACACCATTCGCAAAAATCATGATATCTACAAAATCTTGGTATGTGATATTACATCGGAATGATACTGATAATATCATACTCCAACTTGGATCGTTCTTTACTGGCCCAGTGTGGATTAATATTGACAAGTATTCATAACAGCATTACGACTAGAGCTTCGGCACTGAATGCTGCTGCCATGAAAGAGATCTTCTCAGACTTTATATGTTTTAAACCAGCCAGACTGACGAGCATAAGGTTTTGTCTTACTGGAGCATCATATTGAGCCAGTGAAAAATGATGCATTTAAATTATTATCATTTTTATTCTTATATATATATATATATATTAATACTACATCTTATGCAGTCTAAACCTCAGGAAAAATGTTGCTTGTTCAACTTTACATTCTAGCTATTCTTTTAATTTTTTATCCCAAAATTTCCTAGCTTGGATTTTAAATTATTTTACTTTGAGAATATTTAATAGTTCAAAGCAACGGAAGCTTAAAATTCACTAATTTGCTTGGTTAAAAGATTAGATTACTCTCATTCATCTTTTGATCTTTATCAGTTAATATTAAAAAGTACAGAATTTCTTCTGTCATTTGACTCATTATGAGACATAAACTAAATTAAGTTTCTACTGATTATAAAATACACTTTTATAAAACTTTTTGTATTAAGTTGTTGAGAATACTTGTAGTCATATGATTAGATGTTAATAAGTTCCTTTCAAGAAGTCAAAAGTCAGTAGAGGTCAATGCGTGAAACATTGTATGAGTTTGTTTGTTTTGAATTGCGCGCAAAGCTACACGAGGGCTATCTGCACTAGCCGTCCCTAATTTAGCAGAGTAAGACTAGAGGGAAGGCAGCTAGTCATCACCACCCACCGCCAACTCTTGGGCTACTCTTTTACCAACGAATAGTGGGATTGACTGTCACATTATAATGCCCCCACGGCTGAAAGGAAGAGCATGTTTGGTGTGAGGGGGATTTGAACCCACGACCTTCAGATTGCGAGTCGAGCGCCCTAACCACCTGGCCATGCCGGGCCCATCGTATGAGAATGAAAATAATTCTAGTTTTCAGACAATATGTTTATAACATTTATAGCTGTAGAAGCTTGGAAGTTGTAAATCAAAAAAGAAAACTTCAAAAATTCACTGTTTTCAAATTATTTGAGCTAGATATAAGCAACAAGTATGAACAAAGACTACAGATTTGCAGCTTTGTTACGTATAATGAAAAGTTTTATCTGTGCAGACAGGAAGTTTAACTATTTCTGTTCCCCAAACAATAATTTCAATAGGAGGCACAAAAACATCAAAATTAGGGTGAAAAGTATGGATTTTATTTTATTACTTTAACCAAATCATGTCTTAGTAAAACATACATCAAAACAAAATTCTAAATCTGGACGTTTCAGTTATAATTTTATTTCCTAGGTGAGTTGAGAGGAGAGATAAGACAACATTTTTTTAAACCCGATCTCATTTACCCTCAAGAAAATTAGCTTCATGTGTTGTTTCAATGTTTGTCAGTGTAAGGTTTTTTTCTGCTTCTGTAACAATTCTCACAGCAGTGTTGAATTATCAAATAGTTGGAATTTATCATGAACCAAATATAGAGGTGCTAAACATGTCATTTGTTTGTAATTAAGCACAAAGCTACACAATGGGCTATCTGTGCTCTGCCCACCATGGGTATTGAAACCCGGATTCTAGCATTGTAGGTCCACAAACATACTGCTGTGCCATGGGGGGGCATTCATTTTTCCATGCATGGCTTGCAAAAATGGCAAGGTGCCACCGTATTAGTATATGCAAGTAAATCTAATAACCCTTTGTGTTACACTGTTCTGATTAAATGTTTGCTTTAAATACACTTTAAACTCTAAACTATTTAAGTACTTCATAAACATTTAACAATTGAGTTGATAAGTTCACATTGAAAATTATTTAACAACGGATCAGAACTAGACAGTATATTAGGTGTAATATAATCGTCTAAAGAAAACTCACATTTCTGTAGTATCGAGCAATGAACCACAAACCAACAGCAACCATCAATAAAATCTCTAATATCATTCCAATAAACCAAGGGAAGAAAAGACAACGGTTATCCTGTAAGAAAAACAATGATGTATATATATGAATAAATATGTTTAACGTCCATTTTAATTTTACTCGTAACATACATAAACTTTTGTTTCATTCTAATATTGACTTTTTCTTTTTGTTCAGACGAATCAGAAGCACCT